TGAAGTACAGCCAGACTTTTGACCGCTTCGCCTTGGGCATTTTTAATCTGTAGCTCTGCTCTAAAAGAACGTACATACTTGGGCCCACCTGCAAAGGTAAAATGATTGGCTGGAATCCAAAGTGTATGACGTCTCTGGAAAAAAAGAAAAGCACCAAAATAAAGCACCGAAATAAAGCACCGAAATAAAGCACCGAAATGTGCGCTGCTTTTTGGTCTGGTTGCTACCGTTTATGTGCCATAATGGCGCTGGATACCGGTACCCATCCCTACTTGCAAACAATAAAGGGAAATTAATATGGTAAGCTGTGAAAATTTATGAATAATGTTGCTGTTATTGAATGAAATAATAACGAAACAAACCCCTCATGTTCTTACATTTACTTGTTTCTGTTTCTTGATTAGCTAAGAATTAATAAAAACACAGTGCGCTGCTGTCAGATATGAGAGCGCAGATCTTCTTTCTTTAACTTACTGTAAAACAGAGCTTCATATTAAACCTTTACACTCTGCATGTCTTTTCAGTGTGATAAATTTTGAAGAATTTAAATGAGTCTCTTTAAATTGTCATTTAAAATAATGTTGCTGCATCATCCAAGGCCAGGTTTCAGTCAACAGTTTTTCTGGGTATTAGTCAGCCTGTATGCCTTTGACAGCACAGGTAACTTTTTAAAATTCAACTTTAGTCAGAATTTCCTGACAAGGGAGCCCAGAAATGCACAAATATCTGTAGATTCATCAACTGCAGAGTAATGTGCTAACATGGTGACATTACATTGACATTACACTGATATCTGGAGATATACTCTGATCATTATTAGTAACCTTCTTATAAATGTAGCAGTTTACCGTGTAGGGACCTTTTAGTCACAAAGAAGAAATTTTAGTCAGCAAAAGGAAGGTGAGTCTGCACAGTGACAGTTTAAACTGATTTACCCAGCATATGTAAAAATTACAGAGACACAGATGTTGCTATATGATTAGTGAATAGATCTGCAGATTAGGTCCATAGAAGATCACCATAGAAGTGCAAGAGAAGTGATCCTGCTGAATTTTAAATATCAAAATAATCTGAGAAATGTTAAAAAGGTTGATTCTTTTCATCTGGATGTAGCGTTTGAGATTTGATAAATGTTTCATCACCAATCCAGTCTCAGCTTACTGCAGGTTTCCCCAACCTTATAAACAGTACATTTGCACAATAACTGAAACCAGCCCACTGAATGAACAATTGGCTGTGAGGTCAGTTCCTCACGCTGCACCAAAAATTGGTTCACCCCAAGGATCGGGTCCCCTAAAACAAACAGAGTAATATAGTGTACGCTGTTAAGTGCCGGAGAATTGCTATGATTTATACATCAGGGAAACCAAACAACCTGAGAGCGATAACGAGTTTTGAGATGTGAGAGATTTGAGGCGTTAAACGTGTTTGAAGTGTATAGTTTTGTTTGTTTTATGTGTCAAAACAATGAGGGTACCAGTGAATGTCACAGTTGCTTGCCAATAAGCCACCAAAGGCAGATTGCAATGTAAACGCTGTCTCACCTCCTGTTTTCAGGCCTGCAGTTATCAGGCTTGTGATGTGCTCCTCTGTTTTATAGTGGACAGAAACAATTTTTTAGAGTGCCACAAATAATTTGTGTGGCATCTTATTTTATGCAGAACACCTGATTTCTAAATAAATAGTTTTAAATGTTTATATTAAAAACGGCTGAGGGATTGGCTGCATTTTTAGGTAATTAGCTGCATATAACTTTGTTGTTTGCAAAACTTGTGCATAGGTTTTTAACAAATACAATTTCTTTTTGTGTTTTAAGTTATGAAAATAATTCATTAAACATGTTTACCATTTTTACAGTAAAAAATATTAAAAACTTTTTTTCTACTCAGACTGTATTTATTTTTTGTCTGAATTTAGAAAAAATGACACTAAATTCAGACACGTGAGGTTGTGCTGAAAAGCATGTGGGGAAACTTTCTGTTGACCGCAGCTTGATGTATAGTTTGATGCACTAGTTGATGCTGTAGTCTGATGTTGCAGTTTTGGACAAAAATTGCTGTAATATTTTATGAGTTGCAGTCATGGTTTTTTTTGCGCAGTGTGTGCATTTGTATTACATTTGATCCAATGTACTGATTTGTGGGTCTTTGACAGTGCAACATGGAATAAAAGGAACAAATAGCAAAGAAGTGCATTTCAAGTGTTTATTGTTGCACGTCGTCAGTGTCCTCATGTTTACCCTGCTGTGGCTGTTGATTTAAAGAGCCGCAATATTGAATAAACCAGTGAACGCTTTCTATAAGTGGAACATTAGAATCAACAAACCCCTAAAACATAACAAAGACACCTAATCCCCACATTTGTCACTTGTCTATATGTGTGAAGACTTGATAACAAATCCACCCTTCCTAACCATCATCTGGTGCTAGTTATTTTTTTGATTATGATGACCAAATCCAGTGATTTGTTTCATGGGCTGTCTTTTGCAGGAATCAAGATGAATAACTCAGCTAACTGATGCCAGACTGTAGTTATAGCATTTAATCTTATTAGTAATATGTGTATTTGAATTGTTAAATAAGTCACACAGTGCATTCAGAAAGTGTTTTTTTTTCCTGTGCTAGACATTTTGTTACTGGTAGCTCATCATACAATTATATACATTTTTTTTGTTGTATGCTATGTTTCATGATAGGCCAAATTTTCAGTTTTTGGTTGGTGAAAGTTTGGACTTCAGGTAGGCCAGTTCAGCCCCTCAACTCTTCTACTTCAAAGCAGTGCTTTCGTAATTAGTGTAGTATGTGGTTGACCATTGTCTTGCTGAAATATGCAAGGCCTTTTCTAAAGAAAGATGTCATCTGGATTGGAGTATATGTTGCTCTAAAATGTGTATATACTTTGCACCACTGATGGTGTTTTTTTTTCCAGATGTGAAAGCCACCAGTTCCATTAAACTGAGTGCTGACAACAAGCCAGCTTTTGTGAGACTTTTTCTTTTCTTTTTTAAGGTATGTTTATGTAAAGTACATCTTTTCAGTTTAGGACTTTCATTCCGAGCCTGTGGTATATTTACAGAAACAAAAAGAGCTCCAGATTTGCATCGATAATGTCTCTTTGCATTTCTCCATTCAGTTTCTGATCAGTCTAAACAGGTTTTAATTAGTTGAAAAACATTGCTATAGTACAATGCTGCCACTTTTATGCTGCACTGTATTGAATCAGAATCAGAATATCTTTATGTCACAACAAAATTAAGTGCAGTCCCTGCGGTGTCAAGGGAAGAAAGTTTAAATATATTTACAAAATAAGTATAAAAAAAGAGTTATAACACAGTCATTAGGTCGTAAATAGAACCCTAATCCACATAAACACTCTTGCGCAGAATGTCACCCATTGCACAGTATTTGTCAGGTTAATTGTTGATGATTACTTGTGATTATTTGTAATCAGCTAAAAATAACCTTAAAAGCTAATC